TGTACTGTCGGCAACTGGACAGTTTGAACAAATCCATCATCCAGAAACGTCCAGAGCTTGTTAATTGTAAAGGAGTTGTGTTCCATCGCAACAACGCGAGACCACATACAAGTTTGATCACCCATCAAAAATTATTGGAGCTTGGATGGGATGTGTTGCCACACCCACCATACTCGCCTGACCTTGTACCGTCAGACTTCCACTTGTTTGGCTCTCTTCAAAACTCCTTCCATGGTATGACGTTCATTTCAGATGAGGCTGTAAATGAACAACGTGTTCACTTTTTCACAAATAAAGCTAGGTCCTTCTATGATCAAGGAATTATGAAGCTCACTGAAAGATGGCAAAAGGTTATCAAACAAAACGAGCAATATAGCATTGATTGATCTTTGTTCTTTATATAAATAAATGACCTTTGAAAAACATACACAAAATACGTCATGACTTTTCCAAAGACCCAATATTATTACTATAATTAAATGTAAGACCCATTTTGTTATTGACATATAAAGGCCTCTTAAATCCTAACTTATCCTATCAGATTTGTCTCATCACTACCCCTCACAGAAGCCCAACACTCATGTTTTCTTTTCCTAGTACCTTTGATAGTACAATATTTCACCCATTTAGAATCTTACCACCACCTCTCCTTAAGTACAACCTAAAAGGCTACCTCACGATAGTCTTTCCTAGTTCCCCAAAACCTGATATTCTTTCTCTCCCAAGTCCCAAGAGTATTTTGCCCCTCTCTATTAGCACTCAAAATATTCTATCCTGTGTGTAGTCATGTGGCCTGCTTTATCCTTTGCTTGGCTCCTGATCATATCTAAACCCAGATTTTTATATTCTTTACATCCTTGAGAAGAGGACAAATTCAGTTATCAGCATACAATCTGCAATACCTTTTAAAATATTTGTTGAACTGACATATACAAACTGGGGGAAGGGTTTATCTCTTCATTTTTCCTACAGGGGCTGTTCGTTTGAACTTGCTTATCCTTTCTAAATATTTTAGGGGTCAGTTCCTTGTTCGTTAACTGCCTATTAGTAATTTCAGGTAAAATTATGCTATAATCAACCCCCTTTACACATGGTCTCTT